ACTTCCTTCTCCTCCTTAAACCTAAACCCTTCACAATAGGGATTCTCTTTTGTGTGTTTGTACCTAGCACAATGGGGCCTTTGGGAGCAACCCTAATGCACATTTACTGCAACAATCACAACAAACTACAAGAAATCAGCCCAATTGTAAGAGCTGGACTAATTAGCAGTTGGAGAAAGCAGGTGTTATTCATATATGTAATTACCAAAAATAGTACAAGTGTGTAATTGCATACATTTCATGGCTCCCTCTCCCCCATCTATCTGAAGCTTTTCTTCACTGCCAAAAAACACGTATTTAATTAGGGGATAATTAACACATGCTAACTATGCCACTGTAAAATCCTAGTAGAGACAGGTAGTACAGTTTTACTGTGAGGTAGCTAGGAAAAGTCAACACTATACCCGTGCCTATGGTAGGCCTCAGCTAGCTACCTCACAGTAAAAACGATGGTGACTTCTCTCCGCTAGGATTTAACAGCGAGATACTTAGCATGTGTTATCTCACTGTAAAAAAAATCACCATACTTTTGCAATGCGGACAAAGCCTCTGATGATGAGGTCTTTGGGACAATCCCTGTCCCAGCTTTGTTTGTATACCACTAGCACAGCAGGAGCCCTGCTGGGAGCTCCATTTGCTACTGGAGTACACAAAGGTCCAATTATAGAAGACAAGAGGCTGTACTTAGTTTCATATTAGTAGGAGTTAAGAACGTCCCCTATAGGACATCTCTCAGGTTTGTCTGAATAACTGATTTGATCCTTGAACATTTCACTTCCTGAACAAACCAACTGAAGTTTAGTAGAATTAGACAAAATAAATGAATAGGCATCCAACCTCTTTACAGTTCTGCTATTTCAATCAAAAAATGGTTCAGATTCTCCAGTGTAGCTTAGAATGAGAATGTATAAAGGAAACCCTAAGAGCTGCTATTACTATGTGGAATCAACATACATCCCAGAAAGGAGCAACTCTGAGAAGTGGGAAGGTGAGATCGTGGTTAACAGCATAACTATCTCAGACAACCATTTAGATCCTAATTACAAATTAGTAGTTGCAACAGAGAAAGAGATCATGGTTCCAAAGAAACTGGGCACCATTTTCAGCAAGAATTCTCTCTCTAGGAGACTGAGTTAACCCACTATTGTGGTACCTGTGCACCTCACGAAGTCTTTTAGTGCATGGATACATTATTTTATTACAATGTTTAATAACTTTTTTAATGTAGGTCATTGTGGCATTAATTATATTATGCAAGAAAACACTGAACTCTGCCTGCACCATGTTTTGTCCAGAGGCTACAGCTTTCCTGAGTGTTTTGCAAGAAACAAAATCTTTGGCTTAGGCTTTCAGGTGAACTGGTGCAATCTGTGTGGATGGGAAATCACAAATGCTGCTGCTGTAGTCTAGTCCTTCATCTGAACAGATGCAGTCAATGTGAGACCTTGAGTTTGAAAAATGTGAGAATGATCTGCCTTGTGTCAGGACACAGAAAAATAAGCAGAGACTCAATCCGCCACAAAATTTTCCAGTTTTAGTATAACAATTGAAGGAAATCAGTTCAATACAGAACTATGCACTCATTAGCTGTACAGATGCTTATTTTTAAAAACTATATAATCCAGTGTTTCACTGGACAGACAATATCCAGATACAAATTTGCATTGTACAAATCGTTATAGTTTCAGAACCAGGAAGCTTCCTAAATTCTTCCCATCACAATCAGCAATTTACTTAGATCAGTTTCCAAGACAACCAGATCTGAACCTTGGCTTTACAGACAGACCTGTACCTTGTTCCCTTGCAATTTGTTTCCTTTATCAGGTAATTTCAACAGAAATGAAAACAGACTCAAATCTGGCTCCCTGGTCTTCCTAGCATCCACAAAGCCAGTGTTACACTTGCATTCATATGTCAAGGAATTTAGGTTCCTGAAGAGTCAAAAACCAATAGCAGTCCAAATACTCCGGCACTCTGGAGGCCAGTTTAAATTTAGTTACATTAATAATTTTAAAGCTGCCTCTGGTCATGTATACAGTAGTTTAGTAGAATCCTTTTCCAAAACACCTGAAGGGAACAGACCCTACACACCCAGCTTTATTTTCACTGAAATATCTTTATTCCATGGATGAAAGCGGAGACCAAACCTTTATCATGTAGCAGGTCTGGTAAACTTGCTCTGAGAGAAACTGGGTATAAAGACAAATATTTTTGTTTTTAAAAAATCCTGAAATGAAAGAGGTAAACAAGCTATTGTTAATGTTTCTTTGTTCAATCAAGTTTTAAAGCTGGTTTTAGTTGGTAAAACTCAGGGTTAAAGCTATAATCCACATGACTTTTAAGGAAAAAGGAATGAAAAAAACTGGATGAACCCATTACTTTAAAAAAAAATAATTAAAGGAAGTGTACAAGCTTGGGAAACTTATGGACTGATTGCATGGTCAGTCACATCAATGCTGGCACCAGCTAGGTATGCGCCTAGCTCAGTTCTGCAGGTGTGCTTCCATCTGGACAAGTAGCACCATCCTATTTCAGTCCTAGACAATCCAACCTGCCTATCATGGCTGCTCATCTGATGAATTTTTGGTCCTACAGCACAGTCAACAAACTTCCAATTGTGTTCGTGGCCAGCTCTCCAGCAGCAGGAGGTAATTGAACATGCCATCCTTACCCCAGGAATCAGATGCAACTATGTGCTGCCATTTTACAGTATTAGAGGCAAATTACTGCTCCAGGAATCAGTGCAAGTGTCTGTCAAACACATTCACTGCACTCAATTAGACCAAACAACTGTTTTAGCTCTCCTTTCAAATACATATACAATATGATCCTACTAGAGGAAACCCAGAGGCAGATATTATTAGATGCCAACTAGGTCTTCCTCCTTGTGAAAACTAAACTCAGTAAAATAGCAATACAGACTTGAAAACAAGCCCCTACTGCTGTTAAGAAGTAAACAAGTCACTCACAAAAGTATCCCCTTTGTCTGGAAGAACTCGAGGCCAGATTCACAGCTCTCTTACAGAGCACTATGCTTCCCCAACCGTCTGCACCCCAGATATTTGCTGACTGATTTCAAACTGTGGACTGCACCACAGTCTATCATCAGTGGAAATAGACAAGCAAGAGCCCACAGTGGACACTACTGGCTGAAATGTGACGGTTTCCACAGATATTAAAACATGGCTCTCACTGCCTAAGACAATAAATGGTGTGCTGGGGGAGGGCAGGGATTTCTATATGATGGATATTTAGTTCTCTCATAAGGATGAAATAGATTGTACATATGCTTAACTCACAATGGATTAAATTCTTTATTAATGAAGTCCTGTATCAGACGTTCCATTTTTTTGCCTAGGATTGATGTCAGGCTTACAGGTCTATAATTAGCCAGGTCATCCCATATATCCTTTTAAAATATTTTAAAAAGCACAGATATTTGCAGGATCTTTCCCAATGGATTTTGCTTGGCTCAAATTTATGCCCCTCTTACAATTGGACCCAAAACACACACACACACACACACACAGAGTAATCAGGCTGATAAACTGTTAAAGTTAACCTTGGGTTCAGTCCCTTCCCTTGTAGCAGCAGACCAAGGACAGCTTGTAATGGATGGAATGACTAAAAGCAGTGTTAGGAATTCTCAGCACCACACAGTAACCCCAGGGTTCCTCACACTACGGATGGCAGCTTTCTACCTCCCGCAGTTCACAGTAGAAGACAGAACATAATCCAGAGCAGGGGAAGGGAGTCCTGCACCAAAGAGAGGGGCCTTTTGATAATTCTGTTCTAAGGAATCCTGATATGGAAGAGGACTCCGAGGCAGCAGCCCCAAAAGCCTGCTAATTAGTGCTAAGCCACATGGGTGATGTGGTGGGAGCGACAGGATGCCGAATGTTGGAGGGGAGTTAAGGCCATTTCAACAGTCATTCTTTCCCATCAAGGGAGACTTCACGGCCTTTTATATTGAAAAAACCTAGCTTGCAATTCCCAGAGTTCAAAGACAACTAAACAGTAACTTCGGGGAGCACACTGGCTGCCTGGAGTCGGGAATAACAAGCAGCTAAAACAACACACCCCCTTCCAGAGAGTGTTCTCATATACAGGACAGAGGGATGTAGTAAAAAGAGAAGCAATAAAGAAAGGAGGGCATTCCTTATCTACTATCCAATGACAAGCTCTGCTACGGTGCTCTCCTCATTGCTAAGATGCCCCCAATTGGGAAAAAGAAAAGGAGTACTTGTGGCACCTTAGAGACTAACCAATTTATTTGAGCATAAGCTTTCGTGAGCTACAGGTCACATCCAATGAAGTGAGCTGTAGCTCACGAAAGCTTATGCTCAAATAAATTGGTTAGTCTCTAAGGTGCCACAAGTACTCCTTTTCTTTTTGCGAATACAGACTAACACAGCTGTTACTCTGAAACCCAATTGGGAAAGAGTCTCAGAGCAAGTTAGAAACAATAGAATCACAGAGGGATGGTAAGAACCAGAATTCCTCTTTTCTATCTGGTGTTGTGTTGTATTCCGCACTGCAGTTAGCACAGATTGTAGAGTCACAGGACTACACTACTGGAAGAGATAAGAAAGATCATGCTTTATGCTGCATAAAGCATGGTTTGTGCTGCCTCTCTTCCCTGTTTGGGGCTGGCAGCAGAAGCGTAGCTTCTGGAATAGTCTCAGGAAAACAGGGAACACCCACACTCCAGTCCCAACAGAAAACCAGAACATCATACACCAATCCCAAGCAGGGAGTTCTAACTGCTACTCTTCCTGCTAGCCCTCCCCAGGAACCCAGGCTGTACGAGGGAGGTGTCCAGTCCACCCTCATGTTTTAAACAGGAATGTGTTTTACCCCGTCTACAGAGCTCGGGTAGAGAGAGAAGAGACCTGTTCCAAGAAGCCAGCTATCAGTCACTATGGAGGTAGGGTCCCAAGTACAACAGCTGTGAGCTCTCATTTTACAGGACAGACATAAATATTAGAAAGTGAAATGGATCATTTTTAAAATATATATTTGCTTAACCATTTAAACACAGCCACATATATGAAGAGACAACAAGAGCTAGCAATTTCCTGCTGCTCCTGTTACTGTTGCCTGGGTGCACTGGGAAAGCTGTTCTGCTCAGTCACAGAACGCTTGCTGGAGGGGATCGTAGACAGCTTGCAGTTTCTTTGACAATGCTCACATGAAAGACAGAGGCATTTCACAGGCTCACATGCTAGCAGCTGTTCCACATTGTTGGGATTAACAAAAAGGTGTTAAAAGTTACCCATGATTAATTATTACAGGGAAACAGACCAGATATATAATGGAATATTAGGACACTGCACCTCACCCCCTACCTCAAAAACACATACAAAGACACTGAGGAGAATGTGAGACAGGGCAGCAGATCCCAGAGTCAGGACAGACTCTCTAACACTAGCTTGGCTCTGCAGACACCACCGTTGCTAGACAGACTCAAAGCTAAGAACAAAATATGCAAGGTTTAAGAAAACCAAAACCCCAGAGCTCTTGCTTGCATGCGTGTGCTCTCATGCTTCTCAAGGTTCCAGCGAGGCCAGATCAAGAGGATTTCCCATCCAACATGTAATATCGGTACATTAAGCCTATGACCAGTGCGCCGAAGATGGGGATTAGCCATGTTGACCAGAAACTACAGAAGAGAGGGGGGAAAAAATCAACACACAACACAAAAAAACAGAAAAGAGCAGCAAATTAATAATTTATTCCTAATGTCCAACATGCTCAAATCTGGACTGGTTTGATCTGGGAAATTCTCTGAGAAACCACATATTTAGACACTGAGAGGAGCTCACCTCCAGCCAAGCTGACTGGCCTCCTTACAGAAGAGGGCCTTCTACATCAGTCATAGAAATCCAGAAACCTGTTCTGATTCTATATACTTCTTGGACTAGGGCTGCCAACTTTGTAACTGCACAAAACCTATCACCCTTGCCCTGCCCGAAGGCCCCACCCCTGCTCACTTTATTTCCCCCCCCCGTCCATCGCTTGCTCTCCCCCACCCTCACTCACTTTCATGGGGCTGGGGCAGGGTATTGGGGTGCGGAAGGAGGTGAGGGCTTCAGCTGGAGGTGTGGGCTCTGGGGTGGGGCCACAAACTAGGGGTTCAGGGTGCGGGTGCGAGAGTTCCCCATGGCTCCTGGAAGCAGCTGGAATGTCCAGCTCCTAGGCCAGCATGTCTGGCTCCAGTGGGAGCTCTGGACTGGTGTTTGGGGCGGGGGCAGTGTGCGGAGCCCCCGAGGCTGCCCTTGTGCCTAGGAGCCAGATATGCTGGTCACTTCCGGGAGTCGCAGGGAGCCTGCCTAAGCCCCGTTGTGACGCCGACCAGACTTTTAGCAGCCTAGTCAGCAGCGCTGACCAGAGCTGCCAGGGTCCCTTTTTGACTGGGCGTTCCAGTCAAAAACCGGACACCTGGCAACCCTATCTGGGACTACAGCAAAACTAGACTGGCCACTCTACAGTAAAACAGCAGCTCCCACAAATTTGCCAATCCATATAACGCATTAACAGTGTGCCAGGAATCTGTGACATTCACCTAAATTAGCATGACAGTGGAGCAGTTTGCAGCCATAGTAATATTTAAAATGAAAGTGTGAACCAGAGGCTGAAAGTCCCAGGTCGCTAGGAGGCCTAGCTGTTCTGAACAGGATGGAGCTTTGCATGCTGGGACTTGTCTCCATGGATGGCTCCTGCATATTAAAGAGGGAAACTGTGGACTCACATAAAACTCATTGGGCTGCAGTTTGGCTACTTATCTTGGACTGGCTGCACTCAAGAGCTTTGCATTAAGGTTCTGGGATTTCTGCTCTGTACATTGACAAGGCACAGAATTAATATGTAATGCTACAGAGTGCCCCATCCCTCAGACCTCTTTATTCCTATATAAACGGTACTATACCTTGACTGGCTTGAGGGTGTCGTGTTTGGATCCTGAGGAGAAAGAGAGATACATTATACAAGTTGTACTGACAGAACTACAACCCTGAACATGTAGCTGCCATAGAGAGGGGGACAGAAAAACCCTCACATCTTCCTCCCTTTCCCATACCTCTCTTTCCCTTCCATAACCAACACAGGGTTCTCACTTGCTCTCTGCCACATCTCTTCACTTGCCTCCCTGACTCCACCTCACACTCAGACCTATTCTCTAAATACAAGCATATGCTGGATTTACACATCCTTAAAAGCAAAATGAACTCTTTACCCCACCTGTCTGCAGCAACCATCCAACTTCCTCCCTTCACCTCTGAACTCATTGAATGTGCTATCTACAACCATTACCTCAAGTTGCTCTCCTGCAACTGCATCACAGATTCCCCCTCCAGTGTGGCTTCTGTGCCCAGCATTTGACCAAAATTGCTCTCACCAAGTCTGAATGATCTCTTCCTGGCTAAATCGCTGAGCCTGTATTCCATTCTCATCCTCTTGATCCCTGCTGCTTCACGTGGTCAGTCTCATCCTCCTCAAACTCTTGCCTCCCTTGGCTTTTGCCTGGTTCTGTCTGATCATTCCTTCAGCACCTTTTCTGGCAGGTTCATCTCTTCCCCATCTCCCAGTCTCCATTGGAGTCCTACAGGGCTCCATCCTCGGCCCTCTCCTCTTCTCTCTTTCTCTGGGTGATCTGTTCACACTACTTCATGTGCTATGGATGATTACTTGTAAATCTACCTTTCCACTCCAGACTTCTTGTCCTTCCACCAAATTCCACGTCTGACACAGATGTCTCACCAACAACCTAATGTGCCCAAAAATGGACTCCAAACCTGTATCTACTTCCCCCAGTGACTGACACCACCAACCTTCTTGTCACTCAGGCATAGGATCTAGGAATTTTCTTCAACTCCACATGTCCAGGATGTCTCCAAATCCTAACACTTCCTCCATCAAATTTCCAGAATTGATCCTCTTCTGTCCAGGCAGCTGAAACTCTCAGTCAGGCCTTCATCTCCGGTCTCGGCTGCTTGAACCTCATAGCCACCATTGCTGCCCTCCAATCTGGTCAAAATACAGCTTCTAAAGTCATCTTCCTTGCTCACATGTCTAACCACATCACATCCTCCTCCTGTAATTCCCTCTGCTGCCTAACCCTCGTCCACCACGTCAAATTCAAGTTTCTTCTCTTTACCACCAAAGCCCTTTACTACTCTGTCCTTCCATATTTATCCCCGACTTTCTTCCAATCTCCTGGTGATTAAGTTACTGACCACTCACTTGTCTGTTCCTTCCATAAATAGCTTTGCGCTTTCTGCCACGTCATTCCTTATTTATAGACTCCCTCCCGGAAGTGATTTGTAAGGCTAACAACCCTGTCCTCCTTCAAATCACTTTTAAAGATCTATTTCTTCCATAACACCTACAAGAAGTCAGTCAACAATTTATGCCTACAAAGGGGCAGGTAGGGCAAGTTGATATTTATGTATTAAAAATCCTCAATTTTTATACACATTAGTCTCAGCCTCCCCCTTCTCTTCTTTTATTATAAGCATTTCAGGTCAGAGACCACATCTATCTCTATGCACAACAGGGTCCAATCTTGATCGGAGCCTCTAGTCACAACTATACTTTATTACATAGGGATACTATGTGGATAGATACTACAGCCTTTAAGAGACACGCTACCCCATCTCCTAAGACAGACAAAGCCTGTAACTAGCCCACATCACAAAAGAAACATGGGATTTGCCAAAACATCAAATCATTGGCTCAGCTAGCCAGATACCTTGCATCCAGGACAAGTACCTGATGTTTCAGAGGAAAGTATAAACATCTACAAAACATCTGGACAAAAGCATAATTTTGTATTTAACATAGAGATTGGGAAAGATTTTCCCCCCAGGCAATCAACTGATGCCATGATGTCTAAGAGATTATTCCCCTTCTTCGTTGAGCTTGAAGAGTTGCATATGGTGTGTCCACATCATCATCCACTCCTCCCACCTTTTTTTTTTTTTTTTTTAAAGTGAGTTAGTTTTAGTGTTTGTGAAAAGGTGTCAGATAACAAGGAGACACAAAGCCAGCCCGGGGATGGTTTGGGGTTTTTAAAATATATGATTGTATATACAAGCAAGAGTACTGACCTTCAGTGAAAGTAAGTTTCACAAAGTGACTATACAATGTGTAAAAATACTTTCTTTCCTTTGACTTACTGTGAAATGGATGAAGTATGAAAGTGATCCCCTTGTTTTCATGCTATGGGGCAGAAGAAAGGAAGGACCTCCTAAGAACTGAATACCCCTACAACACTTCCCCTTTCCAAGGTCTTCTACAGTGTCTCATCCTCCGTAAGTCCCAATACACCTCTAACCAATGTGCTGCCCTTTGCAATTTATGCTGTCTTTGAAATTAAGATGCTGTTTTAGATGCAGGGATACCATCATTTGTGCTTGAGAAGAACTTTGAGATCTTCAAAAGGAAAATGATATCAAAGGGGCAACATCTTTTATCCATCTTTTGTTATTTTTAAATACACCTGAGCACCTACTTGTTCCCCTAGATTGCTGCAGCACACTGGACTGATCTTCTCCACTGAACTAAGCACAGCAGCAGTGATCTTTCTACTTAGAGCATCCTGCAAGTTCAGAACCTATCAGAAGAGGATAGATCTTTCTTCCCCTCCAGTGAGCATTATGTTGGATTTATCCAAGTTAAAATGCACTTTCCATAGTGCTGCCCAATCTTCCAGTTTCTTTAGATCCCCTTGGAGGCTCACCATCCACCATTTTGACATATCTAAATATAGCAAAAAGAAAAGGAGTACTTGTGGCACCTTAGAGACTAACCAATTTATTTGAGCATGAGCTTTCGTAAGCTACAGCTCACTTCATCGGATGCATACCGTGGAAACTGCAGTAGACATTATATACACACAGAGACCATGAAACAATACCCCCTCCCACCCCACTGTCCTGCTGGTAATTTCTTTCTATTACCAGCAGGACAGTGGGGTGGGAGGGGGTATTGTTTCATGGTCTCTGTGTGTATATAATGTCTACTGCAGTTTCCACGGTATGCATCCGATGAAGTGAGCTGTAGCTTACGAAAGCTCATGCTCAAATAAATTGGTTAGTCTCTAAGGTGCCACAAGTACTCCTTTTCTTTTTGCAAAGACAGACTAACACGGCTGTTACTCTGAAGCTTATCTAAAGTGATCATCAAGTTGGGCCATTGGCCCACCTTGATTATCATGCACATTGTAGGGAGAGTGGTCACTTTGGATAAGCTATTACCAGCAGGAGATTGAGTTTGTGTGTGTGGTTTTTGGAGAGGGGTGAGAGAACCTGGATTTGTGCAGGAAATGGCCCACCTTGATTATCATACACATTGTGAAGAGAGTGGTCACTTTGGATGGGCTATTACCAGCAGTGGGGGGGGGGGGGGAGGCGCGGAGGGTGAGAAAACCTGGATTTGTGCTGGAAATGGCCCACCTTGATTACCATGCACATTGTAGGGAGAGTGGTCACTTTTGATAAGCTATTACCAGCAGGAGAGTGAGTTTGTGTGTGTGGTTTTTTGGAGGGGGGTGAGGGAGTGAGAGAACCTGGATGTGTGCTGGAAATGACCCACCTTGATTATCATACACATTGTGAAGAGAGTGGTCACTTTGGATGGGCTATTACCAGCAGGAGAGTGAGTTTGTGGGGGGGGGGGGGGGGAGGGGGCGGCGGAGGGTGAGAAAACCTGGATTTGTGCTGGAAATGGCCCAACTTGATGATCACTTTAGATAAGCTATTACCAGCAGGACAGTGGGGTGGGAGGGGGTATTGTTTCATGGTCTCTGTGTGTGTATATAATGTCTACTGCAGTTTCCACGGTATGCATCCGATGAACTGAGCTGTAGCTCACGAAAGCTCATGCTCAAATAAATTGGTTAGTCTCTAAGGTGCCACAAGTACTCCTTTTCTTTTTGCGAATACGGACTAACACGGCTGTTACTCTGAAACCTAAATATAGCAGTAAGCTGTGAAATGCCCTAAGTTCTCCTCATACTCAGCACAGCTGCTCAGGCTGGCACCCATTGCTATACACCCTTTATTGAAGCATGTGGCTCTGCATCGGCTTATGAAATAGGGTTGAAATGAAAAAAGAATAATTTGAAAGGCCTGCTGTTCTGTATAACTAACCTGGGATTTGAGCTGGTTTGAACGATACTCTCCATGGCTGACCAGAACAAACAGACCCTCCCAACAGACTGCAGAAAAAGAAGAGGTTGCCTCTTGATGTCTAATGAAAGGGCTGTCTAAAGCAGAGCTGTTACCAGGCCAACTCTCCTAGTCAAGTACAAGGAGAAGCCAACTGCAAGACACACATTTAACTCCTTAATTAGATTCCATTTACTAAAGATTCGCCACCCCCATCCTTTCAAGGGTAGTTTTCCAATATGCCTCCCCACCCAGGTTCTGATCCAGGAGTCCCCAAGTTTTCAGCAGAAGCCCTAGAGATCACTTGCTGATGCTAACACAGAATTAATGATTTCAGGCCAAACCCAGGTGGTTGGGTCTGTCTCCTGGGTTGAATCTGACAACACTAACAGTTCAGTGATCAGGACACACTGAATGATGCAAACAGAGGTCTGTGGTTCAAGGTGTGGAAATAACACTCTGCTGATGTCAGGGGAGTGAGGTTCAAATCCCACACTGAGGTGGTGCTGCTGATCTTTAGAACAAAAACAAAGTAATAATTTGCTTGCAAGGTTTATTCAGGATCCCAATTTGTGTAAACACAAAACCACCAGCTCTGTGGAAGAAACACTGAATGACTCAGTTTTTTTCCCTCCGGTCCTGAGCCACAGGCAGCAATGTACACAGTACACATAGGCCTGGAAAGATGGGGTTTGGGGCTTCGGGCTTCATTTTACTAGAGCAACTAGTAAACTGGTCAGCTGTTTTGGCAATCTCCAGAGGGAACCATGCCTAGCTCTCCTGGGCTAGAGC